TGAGACAAGCGATTAAGGATATACTTCACGTCCCGAATGAAATTCTCAACGAGAAGTACTTGGGTATGCCATCTGACATAGGGAGTTCGAAGAATGGTGCCTTTAAGTACCTAAAGGACCGACTGTGGAGCAAGGTCCAGGGCTGGATTGAACGTACCATCTCCTTGTCTGGAAAGGAAGTGCTAGTCAGGTCTGTTGCTCAAAGTGCACCAGTCTTTTCCATGTCTTGTTTCAAGTTACCAAGAGGATTATGTGAACACCTCAACATGCTTATCAGAAAGTTTTGGTGGGGTAGCAAGGAAGAAAAAAGGAAGCCTCATTGGGTATCATGGAAAACAATGACACAACCCAAGGGTATGGGGGGCTTAGGTTTCAAATACTTCGAGCTCTTCAACCTAGCGATGCTAGCGAAACAAGCATGGAGGTTGTTGCAGAATTCAGAAAGTTTGAGTGCTCGTGTGCTGAAGAGCGTTTATTACCCTAACTCAGACATCCTCGAGGACGAACTTGGAGGTCATCTGAGCCAGGTATGGCTTGCCATCATTGAGGGCAGAGATACTCTTAGGCAAGGCTTGATCAAACGCATCGGTAACGAAATTTCAACCAATATATGGACACAAAACTGGCTGCCTAGGGAAGGTATGTTCCGGCCTTATGGAAGTACTGCACCGATCCCACCTACCAGAGTGTCCGAGCTCATTATAAGCGCAACAGCTTCCTGGAACAGGCAGCTGATTCAAGAGAATTTCATGCCAATAGATGCACAGATCATTCTTGGAATCCCTTTGTGCACACGGAACATACTAACTTTTGGGCATGGCACTATGAGAAACACGGGTCTTTTTCTGTCAAATCAGCTTATAAGATGCTCGTTGCTACCAAGCAACAAAGGGAGGCATGGTTGGAGGGGGCGGCTGGCCCCTCAACTTCCAACACAGAGGAAGGAGCTTGGAAAATATTGTGGAAGACGGATGTGCCCAGGAAAATGCGTATGTTTCTATGGAGACTCTCCAAACATTCACTGCCAATAAATGATGTGAGAGCACATCGTCACATGGCCGACTCTGACCAGTGCGGGCTATGCGGTGCTAGGGATTCATGGCGCCACTCCTTGATTGAATGCACAACATCCAGGAGTGTATGGGCCTTGATTGATGAGGATACTACACATAAAATCATAGATAATACCGAACCAAGTGCGAGACAGTGGTTGTTTACACTTATGCAAGTGTTAACACATGAGCAGTTTATCCTAATGGCAGTCACACTTTGGTCCATATGGCATGCTCGCCGGAAAGCCATCCATGAGGCTATCTTCCAGAGCCCTCAAGCCACTTATAGCTTCATTGGCAGGTTTATTGCTGACCTTGACATCATAAGAATCAAGGAGAGAAGGCCGGTTGTAAACACTGGTGTGGCACCACCTGGTCAGCGCAGGCCAAAGAAACCACTGGTTGGTTACTGCAAGATACATGTTGACGCCGGAGTTATGATTAGAAGAGGAGGATCAACAGCAGCAGTGTGCAGAGATGAGTGGGGAAATTATTTGGGCAGCTCATCTTTATTTGTGGAAGGAGTGGTAGACCCGACCACTCTTGAGGCGGTAGCATGCCGGGAAGCCCTATCCCTGGTAGAAGATCTGGGCATTCAAAATTTTGTTGTGGCATTGGATTGCATGCAAGTCATTTCAGATATCAACAAAAACTCGCATGGGACGTATGGAGCGATCATCACAGAGATAAAACATAAATCATCTACTTTTCATTGTAATTTTTCTTTTGAGAGTCGTGTTGGTAACTATGAAGCACATAGCTTAGCCAAGTTTTCGCTCTCTAGAGGTCCCGGATGCCACGTTTGGTTTGGTGTGCCTCACGACCAGAAATGTATCCCACACCATGTGGACTTTCATGAATAAATTTGGCTTTACCCCTAAAAAATCTTTTATGACCTAAAAAGCCAAATAGGCCAAATATGGCCCAAAAGACAGCCCAGCAAGTCAACATCACATGGACCTACGTGCCTGATGTGCCGACGGGCTGGCACGATTAGCAAAGTGGTCATTTCTCAAAAAGAAAAACCAAAGGGGTCGTGTTTGGACCTAAGGGGGTAGTACGCATGCCGGCACAACATGGCCCGTTTACTAATCGGCCCACAGTGGGTTGTGCCATGTCGGCCCCTTTGACCAACTCTGGACAGAGGGAGTAAGTAATTAAGGCTTTTTTTTCTTTGTACATGCTACTCTTGCTATATAATGAATAAACAACGAGGTGGGCAGAGCGCGCGATTCTCCAATCCTATTTGACACCTATAGCACCCGTTAAAAGGGTAAATGGTACGCAACACACACCCCACGCGATAACTGGGCCACCTCATAAATATTGAACTATCATTTATGGTTTGTGTCTAGTTGCTCACTGGTTTTCAGGCGTTTTTCTTTTATGTTATAGTTCATATTTTTTTTTATTTTAAATTTTCACAATTTCTGTAATTTGTGAACTTTTTTGAAAATTCATGAAATTTTTCCAGATTTAAAAACAATTTTGAAATTCATGAACATTTTTTAAATTCACATACTATTTTTTGAAATCCGCAAACTGTTATCTAATTCTTGAACATTTTCCAATCCGCAAACATTTTTTTCGAAATCATGAACTTTTTTCAAATATTGAACGTTCTTAAAATTGTGAACTGTTTCAAATCCGTGATTTTCTTTTTGAAATCCATGAATTTTTCCTCTGAAATTCATGATTCTTTTTGTATTTATGAAATTTTCCAAATTTATGAATTTCTTTTGGATTCACATACGTTTTTAAAATTTATGAACTTTTTTCAATTTCAGAAACATTTTTTTCAAACTCATGAACTTCTTAAAATTTTGTGAACATTTTTATATGAAATATTTTCAATTTGTGAACTCCTTTAAAATTCATGATTATTTTGTATGCATGAAATATTTTCAAATAAGTGAACTAGATTTTGTTTTCAAATTCGTGATTTTTTTTCATATTCTAGAACATTTTTTATGCACAAACTTTTTCCAAATTCATGAATTGTTTTCGTATTTTGCGAACTTTTTTCAAATTCTTGAACTTTTTTTTAATTTTGAAAAGTCAATGGTCAAGTGTCAATTGTTGAACGATCGACCATGCCAGCAAAGAAACGATCAATCGAGCGAGCGAACCTGCTTGTCAACGGAGTGATGGACTGAGCATTCGTGTTAATGGGCTGGCCTAACTCACTTAAGGCGCTGTATAGGAGGTCTCGCTCGATCGCCCCGGTATGGTTAAATGGTCCACGGTCGGTACGACAACATCCAAGCTAGATTTCAAAACCGATAGTGATAACTAGTGAATGTCGGCTGCAATGCAAGTGAACTTTTTTTGCAACTTTATCTGGTAGGAGTTGCAAATACCGCCCTCTTGTGAGCAATTTTTTTTCTTGTTTCCAGAAATTGGCATGCATTTTTGAAGATATTGCCAAGCCCATACAACTAATCTTGCTATCTAAAACGCTCACAAATGCCAACCCCTCCCAACAACGTTCGCAAGATATTGCAGTCCTTTAGAAAAGCTTACTAAATTCTCACATGGACGAGAAGATATGCTCAGTTTTCTCGCAATAGGGGGCGCGATCCGCCGCCGTCAGGCTGGTGAACAATCCCTCTGACAGGGTTCTTCGTTCCCATTCTCTTGTTGGCGGCCACCAACATTGAGTGTTTTTCCCTGCCCCGCTGTGTCTTGCTGTGGTTCCAGTCAAGCTGAATTAGAGACGGTCTCTGCACCATTTCCTGGCATTGGTGATCCATTGAGAGAACCTTTCCACAGTCCAATTGTTAGAAATATGCTCTAGAGGCAATAACAAAATTATTATCATATTTCCTGTTCATGATAAATATTTATTATTCATGCTAGAATAGTATATGTTACCGTGATACGGACTCCTTATTTATTATTCATGCTAGAATATTATTCATGCTTGAATGTTTTGCAAAAAAAGCCCTTAAAGACTCTCAAAATTACGCATAGACATAAGCTCATCAGATGCCGTCGAATCTGAGATCCAATGGCCTAAAGGCTCGTATCACGGTATCATGTAAGCCTCGCGAGCGCTTTTTATTACATGCCAGTGCTATCTTTCCATCATAGCAGTGGCGGGTGTTATAGTTTGCCCGCCACTCGTTAGAGTTCACCTATAAGCCCTTTCCCAGTAGTGTGTACACGTTGCCGTGATATACCATAGGATAGAGGGACGGCCATTTATGTACATACACTATTGGATGAAGCTCAAGTGACAGTATGTGTAGGACGAATGATCCGTTCATGAAAAACTGGTTGAACATTCGGTTAATCTCGTTGAATTTGAACAATTGTTGTATTAGACTTATTTGCGTGCTATGTATGGATGATTTGTGCTATTTTATTTCTGTATTTTGATGAATTCCATCGGGTTTGCATGAATTTCGACCTGTCTGCTGAAATACGATTTCAAATGTATGCGGGTAGCTTTGCATGGCTAGCTGCCGTGTCTGTTCTGTCCGTCAACGAAAATGCAGGATCAAATTTGCGGGTTGGAGATGCCTTTACATGCCAGCTTACTGTCTCCATGTGGAACATGGAAATTTCTTGTATGGTTCACGAAAGTTCATCGGCTAAAATTCCTTGAAATTTCAGAAGAAAATCCCCATCGATCTCCCAACCAAATCGCACGCGCATTCTCACGCGGCAGGCATTGCAATTGGTAGCCTAATGTTCCCGTTAATCCATATGTCAGCCTCGCATCAATCGGCTGGCTGTGACTTTCTTTGTCTGGGCCAATCGGCCGTGTTTGACAGTGACACCATCAGTTGACCTGACCTGAGCACCGTGTTGCGGAGGTTAAGCTCTCAGATATTATCCCTTGCAGACTTGAGTTCTGCTATAAACATGCCGGCCATTGCCTCCCTCCTTTCTCCTGTTTAAGGTTCTTGATTCGTGGTGCAGACTAGAAAGCTTTATCCTGACATGTCAGGGGACCGTTTCACCGGCGCGCCGGCGTCAAATGGCCCCCCGGCTCCGTACCCGCGGCAGCAGAACTACAGCTTCAACGGGCGCGTCCTGCTTATGGCCGCCTTCCTCCTTTTCGGGCTCACCATCTTCTTCACCCTCATCCGCTTCTTGCTGTACGTGTTAGTGGCGCGGTCGGGCGGCCGCCGTCGCCGCGGCAGCTTCACCGCCGGCATCCTGCGGTCCATCAACTCTTTTGGCGGAACTAGCGGTCGGCGTGGGCTGGACGCCTCCGCGCTCTCCGCGCTGCCGGTCACCACGTACCGGAAGGAGGGCGCCGCCACCGCCGGGGCTGACTGTGCCGTGTGCCTATCGGAGCTCGCCGATGGAGAAAAGGTGCGGGAGCTGCCCAACTGCGGGCACTCGTTCCACGTGGAGTGCGTCGACGCGTGGCTGCGCTCCCGGACGACCTGCCCTCTCTGCCGCGCCGAGGCTGAGCTGCCCAAGGGGAACGACAAGGCGGAGGTGGCGGCGCAGTCGTCGTCGTCGTCGTCGTCGTCGTCTGCCAGGGAGCCGCCGCAGCAGGCGTTGTTCGGTGCAGGAGGAACCTTGATCGTGACCGTGCAAGGTGGCTTCCCGGATACCCAAAGGGGCGTGCGTGGGTCAACATCGGGGTAGGAGGTCAGTCGGGATCTTCCTATTCCTAAATTGCAGCGAAATTTCGAAGAAGGCTACTGCGACACATGCATATACTGTAGGTTAGACCGTTGTTCACGACGTGCACGAGTTGGATACAATCATACAAAACACCATTTTCTTTTTGTCTGTTTGAGCAAAAGTCACCCATTTGTTTGTTTGTTTGTTGTATTTCGAGGAGAGGATATAAGAAACTCATATGTTGTTAATTTACTTCCTGAAAAGTTTAGAGTAAAATCTGTGGGGTCTGGGCAGGCGTCAGCTGCAGCCGCGGCTGCGTTCTTCGCCGTACGCCGGAGATGGAGGATCTTGAGCAGCGCCTGAGGCTGGCGGTGGTGGCCTATGTGGGCGGCACCAGGCCAGCGGTTTCTTGCCAGGAGGCTGCTGAGGCGTTGTCGGTGGAGCTGCGCATCCCGCACCACCGTTTTTCGGTCCACAAGTTCCATCCCGAGGACTTTCTGGTGGTGTTCGCGGCGCCGGAGTTGCGCAACAAGGCGCTGGTGGCGGGTACAGTTGAGCATGGCTACTTCAAGCTATTTGTCAAGCCATGGCTCAAGCAAGCGCAAGCGGTCTCGAGGGTGATGAGGACGCAGGTTGATCTTATGATCGAAGGAATCCCTTCCCACGCTTGGACGTCCGAGACGGCGGCGGAGCTTTTGGGCTCGTCATGTTTGGTGGAGAGCTTGGCGCCGGAGACTGAGAACAGGGAGGACTTGTCCTTGTTCAAGTTGAGGGCCTGGTGTGTGGAACCAGACGAGGTGCCTGCAGATAGACGGCTCTGGGTTCCGGAGCCGGTGATGGTTGGAGGACCGGCGGCGAGATTGCCCACGTCCCGTGCGCTGCTAGAGTACAAGACCTTGATTCCCATCGGTAGGGTCCGTGATCACGAAGGCCCGGAGCGCTGGTTGAGACGAACCGCCTAGCTCCGATGGTAGCGGTCAGAGCGGGTTGCCTGAGGATTCTGGTGACTTCTCTGGCACGGGAGAGTGGAGAGTGCTGCCGTGGTCGAGAGGAGTTCGCGATCGGCGTGGAGGTGCGCAGGGCAACGGGGCGCATGGTGGTTCCTACATGCGTGCCTTGTTGGGGCGTATTGGTCCGTCGGACTGGAGAATTCCGCCCATGGCTTAGGGCTCTGCGGCGAAGATGCACGCGCCGGTGGTCACCTCGGTCACCACGGTGGCAACCAGGGTTGGAGTGGGCAGGACGTTGGCTGTCGAGGCCGCGTTGGTGGAGCCTGTGGCCGCAGACGATCCAGGGAGGATGGCTAGAGCCACAGAAAATCAGGCCGCTGAGGTGAGGGTCAGGGTGGCGCATGCGGCTTTTGACCATGGTGGGGCCTTGGAGCTGGGGCGAGCTAATCCTGAGGCTCAGCTCTTGGTCCAGTCCGAGGCGGATCCCGAGGTGACTGTTCTGGTGGATAAAGCTGCGGAGGAGGCGCGTTCGCCACAGGCTGGCGGTATGGGCCTAGTGGATCCCGAGGCGGCTGCAGCTTCGAGGGGGATCGAGGATTTGGATCCAGCCAACCAGGATGCGTCGGGAGGTCTGGAGGTGGGCCGGCCAACCCAGGAGGGCACAAGGGCCGAGGAAGTGGACTCGCAGCTGTCGCCGGTGGTGCCCGACAAGGCAGCAGACGGATGGGCCCCGGTCAGGGATTTGATGCAGGCATCGATGGCGACAGTAGAGGTGGAGAGGCATGCGGATTCGCCGGTGGTGGGTCCCGTTCTACAGGAGTCGATGCCCTCTGCTGCATGCACCGATGTGACTACGTACGTTGCATGCGGGGAGGGAAATTTGCGCGTCTCTGCGTCTGACTCGGCTGCTCGCGCGGATGACTCGCTGCAGCGCCAGGAGGGGAATCTTTCGGCCAAGGAGATCGCTGCGCTGGGTAACATCAAAACATTCTGCGCCGGGCTATTGAAGAAACTTGTGCCGCCTCTTCTCAGGGAGTTTGAAGGGATTAGAGGAGTTCGGACTGGTCAAGACCCATTCACACCTCGACGCACGACTCAGTCTGTCTGTTCCGGTGGCGCTAGGAAGTCTAAGGCTTCGGCAGCTGAAACGGTTCTGCTAAAGACCTTAGGTTTTGATTGTGAGGATCTGGCCGTTTCTGAGGACGCGCTAGGTCAGCTTCGTACAGTGTTCGATTCACCACTTCAGGAGCCACAGCTGAGGGCCATCGCGGCCATCTTTGGGAAGGCCATACCTCTCAATCTAGCAGGGGAGGCAGGGACGGATGTGCCAGTTATGGCGCAGTAGGGTCGAGGGTTGTGACGGTGTTGGAGTCATCATTTCCGATGTCTGTCAACGCTCTAGAGTTGGTGTGTTGGAATGTCAGAGGCCTTAACAACCCGGCCAAGAGGAAGGCACTCAGAGGATTTGTAGACTCGGTGAGCGCGGCGATTGTATGTATTTTAGAAACCAAGCTAGAGGTCGTGAACATTTTTGTAATCCTGCAACGCATGGGGCCAAACTATGATGGTTTTACCTATTTACCGGCGTCGGAGACGAGAGGTGGCATTTTTGTGGCTTGGGACACCACTCGGGTGATGGTAACAAACTTTGTCAATGACTCTCATTGCATCACAGGGTTTGTCTCGCCTAAGGAGGGGACACCTTGGTGGCTTACCATTGTGTATGGGCCACAAGAGGATGAGCATAAGATTAATTTCTTGAATGAGCTCTCGGAGAGAAGATCGCTATGTCCGGGGCCATGGCTCGTGATTGGGGACTTTAATCTTATCCTATACGCGGCGGATAAGAATAACTCAAATTTAGATCAGAGAATGATGGGGAAGTTCAAGCGTTTTGTGGATAACAACGCGCTCAAGGAGCTCTTTTTGCATGGGCGAAAGTTCACGTGGAGTAATGAAAGGGAGACGCCCACGCTTACCAAGATTGATCGTGCGTTCGTTTCAGTGGATTGGGAGATAGATCACCCGGATTGTTTGTTGCAAGCTTTGTCCACTGAGTATTCCGATCATTGCCCATTGCATCTCACACTCCATGAGCCAATGCACTATAAAAAGAGGTTCCGTTTCGAGAAGTTTTGGGTTAAAATGGAGGGTTTCTTGGATATCGTAAAGGAGGCGTGGGTATGTGATCCCGGCTCACAGAGGAGGAAAGATGGCTCATAAGAACTCTGAAGCAACTGGTGCTTGGGTTGGCATCATTAGAGAGAACCATTGCGAGACAAAGGTCTAGAATATCTTGGCTCCAAGAAGGGGATGCTAACACGCGCTTGTTTCATTTGGTGGCGAATGGGAGGCGTATGAAGAACTACATTCCTTCATTGAACATGGAAGGGCGTACTATCACAGATCAGAAAGGCAAGGAGGAAGCCTTCTATAATGCATACAAGGATTTGTTGGGCAAGGACGTTGCTAGAGAGTTCACGCTAGATTTGGAGGGTCTTGGAGTCGCTCACGTGGATTTATCGGAGCAAGACCGGGTATTTACTGAAGAGGAGGTGTGGGCAGTCATTAAGGATTTTCCCTCCGATAAAGCACCGGGACCGGATGGGTTCATTGGCTTGTTCTTTCAAAAATCTTGGGAAGTGATCAAGATGGATCTGATGGCTGCTATTCATAAGCTGTTCCTTGGAAATGGGAGGGGTTTTGGGAGGCTTAACCAAGCCTTCATCACTCTTTTGCCGAAGTCCCCAGATGCTTCTTCTGTATTTGATTTTCGGCCGATTAGTCTTGTGCATAGCATGCCCAAGATTGCTTCCAAGCTCCTTACTTCGAGGCTTAGACCGCGCATGGGGGACCTTGTCCAGGTGAATCAGTCCGCTTTCATAAAAGGGAGATGCTTGCACGATAATTTCCTTCTGATGAGACAAGTGGCGAAGATGATGCACAAAAGGAAAGCTAAAGGAGTTCTGCTCAAGCTAGACATTACTAAAGCCTTTGACTCCTTGTCATGGCCGTTATTGTTTGAAGTGTTGAGAGCCAAGGGTTTTTCAGAGCGGTGGATCTCTTGGATCGCCACCCTGCTTACGACGGCTAGTTCCAGAGTGATCGTAAATGGGCGTGTGGGAGATAAGTTTATGCATGCTAAAGGTTTGAGGCAAGGGGATTTGATCTCCCCCTTACTCTTTGTTATCGCCATGGATATCCTCACGCATATTATTATCAAGGCACATGAAGCTGGAGTCATGAGTCGCATCAATGGATGTAGCCCGGTGCAGCGGCTGTCGTTGTATGCGGATGATGTGGTTCTTTTCATCAAACCCACACGACCGGATCTGGAGTTAGTCAGAGAATCTCTTACCATCTTTGGAGTTGCTTCTGGACTGAAAGTAAATTTTGCTAAATTGGCGGCAATTATGATTCGAGCAGAGCTGGAGGATGAGGATATTGTGAAGTCGGCGCTGCCCTGGAAGCTTGCCACTTTTCCTTGCAAGTACCTTGGACTGCAATAAGCATTTGGCAGTTGAAAAGATTGGAGTGGCAGCCTATGGTGGACGCGACACTCCACATTCTGCCAGGATGGCAAAGGGGTTTGGTGACTAGACCAGGCAGGCTGGTTCTTGTCAACCAGGTCATGAGAGCGCGGGCTACTCACCACCTTATGGTTGCGGAGGCGCCAAAATGGGCTCTAGACAAAGTGGACAAAGGGTGTAGGGCCTTATTCTAGGCCGGGACTGAGGAAATCAAGGGAGGCAAATGTATCTTGGGCGAGAGTATGCAGGCCTAAGCTCATGGGAGGGCTAGGCGTCATTGGCCTTCACAAACACGGCATTGCTCTTAGGTTGAGGTGGGAATGGCTTAGACGCACGGATACTTCCAGGCCGTGGCAAGGGCTTTGCTTGGCCGCGGACAAATCGGTTGCGCAAGCATTTAGTAGCTTGGTGAAATGGAGAGTTGGAGCTGGGGACAAAACCCTGTTCTGGAAGGATGGATGGATCCAGGGTGCTACCATTGCGGAGGTCGCTCCTCTGGTGGCGAAGTCAGTTCGTACGCAAGTTGCCAACAGGAGACGTG